CAGCTCAACTGCTCGTACCAGTCGACCTATCAGGACATGGTCGGGTACGCCCGCCTGAACCGCGGCAAGATCGTGACCGAGGCCACGACGACCCCCGCCCCCTGTATGCTGCCGTTTGCTGTGTTTGTTGTTCTTCTTCTCCTTCTTCGGTCGAGATAGAGAAAGAGAGAGAGAGAGAGAGAAGCAGGCAGAGAGAGATAGACATGGAGATGGAGAGAGAGAGAGAAAGAGAGACAGACAGACATAAAGAGAGAGAGAGAGAGAGGGAGAGAGAGAAGATGGGGAGGTAGATGGGTATACGGAAGAGAAGGGGGGGGGAATAGCCAGGGGGGAGGAGGCTCTTGCGAAGCGCACTCTGCGAAGCCACGCGTTGCGTCAACCTCCTCCTCCTCCTCCTCCTCTCTGGTCCTGCGCCTGCTCCTCCTCCTTACTCCGTAGAGTAAACCCGCTCAGCAAAGATGAGCGACATTCCAAAGTTACTCTCGCATCCTCCCTTTCGGACCATCCTTGGCCGCTTTCGCTGGCCGCGCTCCGCTCGCATCCAAGGCCCTTGCATCCTTATCGTGCATCCTTATTATACGGTGTGATTGCATTTTCAACCACCTATTCCTTCTCCCCCCCTCTCTCGAATGAGAGATATCTGCATGAACGTGCGAATTTATTGGATCTGCGCTCGACCCCCCCCTGGCGGCGCGTCTGGCGCGCTCCGCGCGGCCAGGGGGGAGGGAGTTCCAGCGTCGAACGCAGCACACGGGATCCGCACAGGATTTCGAGCGTTTGTGGTTGTTTCTGTCGTTATTGGTTGTCCGTATCCATCATCATCCTGCTGCTCGTTTTCCTCCTCCTGCATCCCCCTCTCCTCCCCTTCCTCCCCTGTGGCCTCGTCCTTCGACGGGCGGGAGCCGCAGCGCCAGCCCGAAGGAACGCTGCAGGAGCGATCGTGCATGGATGACCCAGCGGCGGCCATCGCTGTCGCCGTGCTCCTCCTCGCTCTGCTCCTCGCGCCCCGCCTTCCCCAACAAGTGCACCCGCCGCCGCAGGGGCGTGTATGGGGAGGACCGGGTCTTCCTTCTCGCGATGGTCTCCGCGTTCTGCTCCTCATCCTCCTCATCCGCATCCTCATCCTCCCCTCCCGCGTCCCCGTCGCGCTGGCCCGGAGGCCTCCGGGCGGTGTGCGCAGGTGACGGGGTGCCTCCGCGGCCCGAAGGCCACACCCCATGGTGACAGCCGAACGGTATCACAGCCTCCCTCGCCACATCGTCCCCTCTTCACTCCGTCCCCCCCCCCGTCCCCCTCATCATTCAGCCGTTCCACGGCCCTCCCCCTCCTCGTTACCGTCATCCTCGTGCTCCTCCTCCTCCTCCTCCTCCTCCTCCTTCTCCTCCTCTTCCTCCTCCTCCCCCTCTTCTCCGAACTATCCCCCTCCCTCATCCTGCTCCGCCTTCTTCTCCACCCTACTCCTTGTCCTGCCCTTCACGACTCTGGCGGCGCTTCGGTTCTCACCCCTCCCTCCAGCATTGCTCCTGCCCGTCGCGACCGAGGCTATGCTCGTAGTCTCCGAGAAACGCTGGAGAGCGTTCGTCGACTCGATGCACCTGGACGAGCGGTGCGAGTTCGGCGAGGGCGACATCGGATTGGCTGGCGGCATCCAAGTGCGCGAGGCAGCGGGAGGGCTGCAATTAGCAGGGAAGTGAGGCAGGGAGGAGGGGGCGGAGGCGGAATAAGAAGAGGGGACAGGGAAAGGGTGGAGGAGACAGGGGGGCTTGGGGATGAAGGGTTTGGGGAGGGGGAGAGGCAGCAGCCAGAACAGAGAGAGGGATTCTGTGCGACGGTGCTGAGTTCCCGCCTGCTACGACCGCCCCATGGGATAGCCGCTGGCCAACCGAAGCACCCCGGGCGGGGCCCGCCCATCGCTAGATGATTTTATTGGTGTCAGGGACCTCAGGGCTCCTAGTGCTCGCAGGGAGGAGGAGGAGGAGGAGGAGGAGGAGCAGGAGCAGGAGCAGGAGCAGGAGCAGGAGCAGGATCAGGAGCAGGAGCAGGAGGAGATGGAGATGGAGATGGAGGAGGGAGGAGGAGGAGGAGAGGAGGAGGAGGAGGAGAGAGGGAGAGGACCAGGACGAAGAGGGAGAAGAGGAGGAGGAGAGAGGAGCAGTAGGAGGAGGATGAGGAGGAGGAGCGGAGGAGGAGGGGGAGGGGACGGAGGAGGAGGAGGAGGAGGAGGAGGAGGAGGAGCAGCAAACGAAGCTGTGGAATTCGACGGGAGCGCTGTGCGACACGAGAGGGCTGAGCAGCTGAGCGGCCAGTGTGCTCATCCTCGCGCGCGGGAGCAGTGCCGCGCGCCAAGACCACCCGCGGAGCAGGACGAAGCCGCCGGGCGCGGAAGAGCAGGGCGCGGCCAACTCCCCTTCGGGCTGCTCGACCTCGAGGGAGCCAGCGCCTGGCGGAGGAGGCCTCGGCAGGTCCTCAGGGCCTCGCACCCCGCACCCCTTCGGATAGCCACCCATTGGCGAGTCTGCAGCTACGACAGGTTCGGAGTTCTATCGGGGGAGCGTAAGACCCGGGTGTGCCAGGACTCGGGTTCGTCATCGTTTTTTGACGACCGCGCCTCGGATTTTGACGAGGAGGAGTTTCGTGGGATGTCTGCAGCGGGAGGCCTCGTCAAAATGCAGGCGCGGCCTCGTCATTTTTGTTGACGACCTCGTCGGGGATTTCCGAGTCCCCCGTACCCGGGTCTTACGTCTCCCCGATTCTAGAGGCCGGCACCAACACCAATATCGGCGGTGTGCCTCCACCTCCGAGGCGTCAGGAGCCAACGCCGGGGTTGACACGACACGAGCCCGCGGCAATTGCCTCAGAGGCCTCGCCCAGAAGCAAATTCGTCACAGACCGCTTCAGGGGAAACCTCCCTGCGTGGGTAGAGCCCCTTGGCGATCCTACTCAAATTCTCGTCCCATGTCCTGGTGAGTCTTGGCCACCTCCTTCCGATGAGGCTGAGACAATATGCGGTAGCAAAAAGGTCGCACACACATGGCAGCAGGTTGTACAGTACCTGCCGCACTCTCCGAGCGTTTGAGATTCAGGCCGAGCTCTCTCGGTGCCCCCACACGGGTCCCGACGAGCAATCGGGGCATTGGGAAGTTGGTGAGAGTAAGGCGAGGTATAGTAAACACACAGCATAGCACTCGTGCGCCAGCTGGGTGCACTGCAGGTAGCGCCACCCATTACCCACCTCTCTTCAATCGGTTGCATGACGTGGTGGTGCGTGCCAGGTTCGTCAAAGAGTTCCAACATTCAATGCGACGCTGAGCCAAGAATGTTGCCGCGCCTGGCAATCATTCATGGCTGACGCCGCCGGGAAAGTTTACGAATCGTAGCAGTTTTGATTAATTCAGCTTGGGTCGCAGACGAAATGGACGAATGTTTGCTCTCCGACGTGGGGGAGTGGGGCGATGAGGAGCAGCAGGATTAGGTGGTCGATCAGGAGGAGGAAGGAGATAAGAGGGACGGGGGAGGTTGGTAGTGGGGGGTGGGATGGATGGATGGAGGGAGGGGGGGGGATGGAGGGATGATGAGGAACATAAGCAGCAGCAGCAGGTGGAGGAGAGGGGAGGACGGGGGTGGGAATGGGGGAGGAGGAGGAGGAGGAGGAGGAGGAGGAGGAGGAGGAGGAGGAGGAGGAGGAGAGGAGGAGGAGGACGGGAATGTATATACACACACACATACTCATCGATATACACACACACTGATATCAATACACAGAGAGAGAGAGAGAGACAGACAGCGGGGGTAGATACGTGGATAAATGTATGAAAGAGGGAGAAGGAACGAAAGAGAGAGAAAGGCGAAAGAGAGAGAGAGGGTGAGAGAGAGTGTTAGAGGTAGGAGTAGAGGTAAAGGTGCATACTTCTGAGAGACATAGACATCTGTATGTGCTTGTCGGTGCTTACATCACCGATCTGTATCTGTATAATATATATATATATATACACATATATATGTATATATATATATGTATATAGGTGCATCGAGAGAGAGAGAGAGAGAGTGACAGAGAGACGTGCAGCAGTCGCGCGCTCGCACCCCAGGGCCCCCCGCCAGCATTACTGGGGGTGGGATGTTCCCCTGCGCGCTCGCGCGGCCCGCACCCCCGGCCCCCCCCCCCCCACGGCTGCCTCCGCCGCATCCGAGTTGGAAGTCTTCTCCTCGCCTCTGCCCTTCGCGGCCCCCCTTCGAAGGATGAGGATCGGGAGTTCGCAGAGGGGGGGTGTCCCAAGGTGGGATTAGGGAACACGTCCAGCTGGACACGCACCGTCAACCCGCACAGTAAGGATGAGCGACGTTCCAAGGTTACCCTTGCATCCTTCCCCGTCGGCCAATCCTTGGCCGCTTTCGTCGCTGGCCGCGCCTGGCCCGCAAAGTGTCGACATGGCCGTCCAAGGCCCCTGATCCTTACCGTGCGTCCTTCTGATGATACTGGTTGACTGTGCTCACAGTTCCTCCTGTCACGTGCCGTTTTGAACGAGTTTCCTGCACCCCCCACTGCTGCCCCTCCCCCACCGTTCTACATTCCCCCGAGAAGATGGCACGCGTCGCACCCGCGGACGTCCCGCTGCGCGACTGCTGTGCGTGTCGGAGCCTCGCTCCGCGATTTGAGCATTGTGCATCGCTGCGCAACTGGTCATGTGGGGCGCGCGCGGTGGCGCAGCCGCGTCGCCTCGGCGGGGAAATCAGAACGCGGTCTTCGCGCGGGGGTCTCGCTCCGCGAAGGGGATGGCGCCTGGCTGCGCTGCGACTGCACATGTGGCGCGCGCGTCGCACCATGCGCGGTGGCGCAGCTGCGTCCCATCGCCAGCGGTCTCGGACCGAGACTTTCGCGCGGGTGCCTCGCTCTGCAAAAGGGTGGTGTGTTCGCGCCGAGCCTCGCGACTGGGCACGCGCTCGCACGCGCAGGGATCTCGCGCAGAGGGGCGGGGGTCTTGCGTGGGGGCGTCGCAGCTGCGTCGCGTCTGCGAGCGCTTCGGCACCGCAGTGCCTGCTGACCAGGCGGTCGGCGATCACAGATCGCAGTGATCGGGGGATCACGTGATCGCCGCGCACGAGATCGGTTCGGCTTGATCACGCGATCGTCCGAGCTTGAATGCGCCATAGATCCGTGATCAGCGAGGTGGCCGGTCAGATCGCGCGGTCGGGTGGTGTGGTCGGCGGAGTGGTCAGCCGGACGCTGAGCTCGGAACGCGATCTTCGCGCGAGCAGGAGCCTCGCGGCGGCGTCGCATCGGCGGGGTCTCGCCACGCGGCCTCCGCGCGGGGAGGGGGCGGTGTCCACGCAAAAAGGAGTCCCGAGCGAGAGGCCTCCCCGGGAGTACTGAGGATTCCTTGGGATACTTCACGATGCCTCCGGATTTCCGCGAATTCTCGGATGTCTCCGGGTTCTTTCGGGTTCTGCAGGGTTTGCGCAGGGTTCCCCCACGGTTCCCTGAGATCCTCCAGGATCTCTCAGGGCTCCACAGGGTTCCTCGTGATTCAGTTCTGTTCCTCACGATCCAGCAGGCTTCCTCAGGAGCCCACCAGCATCCACGGGATTCCAAAGGATTCCTCCGGATTCTTCAGTCTGCTGCAGGGTCCCGCAGGATTCCTCAGGAGCCGCAGTATTATTGAGTATTCCACAGATGTCTCAAAGGTTCCGCGAGACCTCGCAGGGATCTTCGGACTCACTTTGGTTTCTACAGGGGTGCGCAGCGTTCCTTTCGCTGGGATTCCTGGAGGTTCGCAAGGATTCCGCAGTACTGCTCAGGATTCCGCTTGGAGCCCTAATGGAGTGGTCCCCGCAGGGCAGCCCCTTCGGAGAGTGCGCCAAAGGGGGTGGGGAGGCATGTCTGTTTCTTGCGGAGCCCCAGGGGCCCCAGAGTGTTGAAGCTTGTGCGCCCGACTTGCGCTCCCGCCAAGCGATCTCGATCCAGAGATGGAGTGATCCGTTCTGTGTTACGCACAATGAAGGAAGACGCAGCCCGCTGTTCGCACCGCTGGAAGGCGGGCGGGCTGAACCTCGCCAGCCACGTCGCCCGGCTGGCGCTCCGCTGAACGCTCCGACCAAACAGTCACTTGCTGGCTGACGGTAGTCGGTAGCTGGGCTCGTCCCAGAGAGAGAGAGAGAGATAGAGAGAGTGAGAGAGACAGCGAGAGGGAGATAAAGTGAGAAGGAGGAGGACGAGGATAACGAAGGGGAACGATGATCATAATGAGCAGGAGCAGGAAGAGGAGAGGAGCGAGGACTACTCGAAGAAGGGTTAGGGGAAGAAGGAGGAGTAGGCGGAGATGGTCGCGGAGGATGCGTGAGAGGATGGGGATGGAGAGAGGAACGAGACGTATGAGAGGATGGATGCGACAAGGCTAAAGGATGAGCGATGAGGAGCGAGGAGTTGAAGGAGGAACGGGACGAGGAGGAACGTCGAGGATTTACGTATCATGATGGTGGGGAGGAGGAGGAGGAGGAGGAGGAGGAGGAGGAGGAGGACGTCGAGGAATTGCCATCCGATAGGCGGCTTATGTCACCATCACTTCCCTCCTTCCTCCTTCCTCCCTCCCTGCTTGTCCCGTATCTGTCCTCCCTCCCTGTTTGTCGCTATTCTCTTCCTCTATATTTGCTCCCTGCCCCGCGTCTGGCCTAAGGCTTTCAACAAAGCTTAGAAGACCAGGTAGCAGAGATGATACTTCCATATCTAATGTCATATCGCAAGCTACACAGTCGCAGTACCCGTAACTCTGTAACTCGTCTTCCCTCCCGCCTTCCTCCCTCTCCCCCCCCCCGCCCTCCCTCCCCGCCTTGCTCCTCCCCCCATGTCTCCCCCCTCCCGCCTCTTCCACTCCCCCTCCCCAGAGGTCACGACCTTTTCCCCAGGGGGGATTTTTGGTCCCAGATCAGTTGTTGGCCCCGGGGCCCGATAACAGGCCCTGGAGGCTGAAGCCTGCGAAAATCGCCAGGATTGAATTCAACCGCTGGAAGCGCATTTACATTGCCGCCGCTTGGTGGCCCAAAGAGGTCACCTAGCCATGGGGTTGCGTGCATTCGGGATTGCCACCATCGCCGAGAGCGTGAAAATTGGCATGAAACTGCCCCTGCGGGGACCAAACGAGTTCCTATGGACTCAGCGCTGAGGCTTCTGGCGGCGATCTTGGGCGAATCCCTTTGAGCATACTCGACCTCCTCGCAGCCCGTCCCCCTCCTTTTGACCCGCCCCCCCCCCGCCGACGAGGCCGCAAATGTTAACATCACCACCTTCGACATGATCCGCCGATTCGGCGGATCCACGTCGGTCTTAGCGCAGTGGCCGGAGGATGGTCTTCGTCGTCCGTCAGTATCCGTTTTCGTTGCCGGAAGTGCCCCCTCTGAATGGCGACCACACGTTGGGCCTGTCATTCAGGCGATGCCTTGTTTCATAACAGACCCGCCTTCCGTCCTTCCGGCTATGAGGAGGGCGAGGGGGACGAGGGAGTGAGAGATGGGCATGAAAAGGCCCTGGCGAGGGCGAGGCATAGGAAGAGTGACAAGGCGAGGCAGAGGATGAGAGAAGAGGAGGAATAGGAGGAATAAGCAGAAGGGAAACATGGGGAGGGCGGGGGATGAAGAGGCGGGATCCAGAGGATGACCTTCTGACGAACGACGAGGAGGACCGCTTCGAGCGGATGGAGAAGGTGATCGCGAAGGCGGGGCCTGCGCACCCGTGCAGCATCCTTTTCCGTCATACTCTGCCTGGTCCCGCAACTTCTCCTCTTCCTCCTCGCTCCCTCGCATCGCCCTCTCCTCGTCTTCCTTCGCCTCGTCCCCCTACGCCTCCCTCCCTTCGTCTCGTCCATCTCCTTCTCCTATGTCAACTTGCTGCATGTCTCGCACGACACAGTGAACAGCATAATGTAGATGCCGCGGCCTCGCCACCTGGTTTCCGAAATGCCCGAACGCTTGTCCGCAGTGGTGTTCGTTAGTTCGTTCGCCCGCTGCTCGCCCCCCCGACGTCCCACGGTGAGATGTTTCAGTGCACGGCCCCAGAGGTCACGACCCATTTTTTGGGGTAGTTTTTCGTACCGGATTATTTGTTGATGGCCCCCGGGCCCGATAATAGGCCCTGGAGGTCGAAAGTTGGGAAATTTGACGCGAGATCGACGCCAGCCGAGGCCAAATCGACCGACGCTACTTCATCGACCCCCAGACGCTAATCGACGCTAAAGACGGAACTGAGAAGGTAGACCACCCCCTCCATCCCTCCTCCCGTCCTGTCCCTTCCCGTCCCGGCTCCCGCCTTCCCCTCCCGTCCCGCTTGCCCATTGGAACCGTCCTAGATTTCGCTTTGGCGCAGGTTTCGAGGGGAATCCAGCTCTGACGGCCAGAAGGGTCCCCCGAGGCTCCCAGGAAGGCAAGAAGGCGAATACAGTCCCAAAGCTTCGATCTTAGAAGCTCGAAATCCTTCTCGAGGAGGTGGGCAGGAACGGCAAGGTAGGAGGGAGGAGGGAGGAGTCTCGGGCGGGGCTAGCTACGACGGGGATAAATCGTTCCAGAGCGCCCCAGAGCACTCTTAGAGCGTTACGGATCGCTCTGGGAAGGCCGCGGAGCCCGATACATCCTTCAGTCATAGTCCTGTTCTTGTCCTGGCATCATCTTAAGGGGATGGCCAATTGGGCACAGCTTGAAGGCGGACACCTATGCTGTCTGGTTTTGCGGCGCTCACCGAGCACCATGGATCTTTGCCTTGACGCTTCTTCTCCGCCAGCGCTCTACTGGACAGAGGGGGAATCCAACTACCACGGGTAGCCGCACCCCCAACGGCGCCGCACACCCGCCGGGATCGCAAGGTACCGCCCCCGGAGCTGCTACAAGGAGCCTTCGTGTTTAAAACAGCCACAACCCAGCAAGGTGCAACACAGGAAGGGGGGAGGGAGGATGGACTAGGCACTGCAGCAGCCTGCGCGCCATCTTGCTGAAGGCCCACACCCCGAGAACCAAGGGGGGCACACTTGTAGCTACCGCTACCCTCCCCAGCGAAGGGAGACCCAGCCCTGAGCCCCAGGCGGCCCGACGCACAGAAATGAGAGGGTGGCCCTACGCGGCACGCGCCACGAGGGGGGGGGGGGGGCGGGAGCGGGCGCGGACGAGGGGGGAGCCCGAAAGAGCCGCGCCCCGCCGTGCGCGGGGAGCTCCCGGAGAGCGCCCCCGCGGAGAGAGGCCATGAAGCGGATGAGCTCGAGCGGCGACGCCAAGGGGAAGGGCGGCAGGACGGGGCCGCCGAGCAGCCTCTCCTCTGCTCCGTGTCCTTGCTCGGCCTGCGCTCGTGCTGATCCTCCCGCCCCGCCCTCCCGCTCCTGCTCCTCCTCGCTCCTGCGCCCTCCTCGCCCTCCGCCTCCATTCCTTTATGCAGAACTTCTCCCTGTCGCACCCCGAGGCCGGTCGAAAAGGCGGGCCGGGCGTTTCGCTTGAGATTGCCTCTCCACTGCTGATCCTGAAGCTTACAGGTTGGCAACAGCTTCACGGATGGAGGCCGGGTGGTTTTCGAAAGATGGTTCTCGCCGTAGCGCCGCGCACACTCGCTGAAAAAAACGTGCAAGAGTTTCACGGATTGAGGGCGGGCGATTTTCAAAATGTGGCTCTCGCCTTAGCGCCACGCACACTCGTTTTAGACATTTACCAGAGCTACACGGATTGAGGGAGGGCCGTGTTCAACATGTGGTTCTCGTCTTGGCGCCGCGTACATTCGTTTTGAACATGTGCAAGAGATTCACGGATTGAGGGCGGTTCCTTTTCAAAATGTATTTCTCGCCTTAGCGCCGCGCATATTCGCTTTGAGCAATTGCAAGAGAATCGCGCGTTCGCATGACTACGTACTTGAAACGTTGTTTTGAAACGACGTATGATCGCCAAGGTGCAGCAGTTATTTTGATTCGCGGCATTCAAATCCCAGGAACGGCGTTCTGGTACGATTCAGGATCGTCAAGACGCAACAGTCAGGTTGAGTCGTGGCGTTGGAGTCCAGAGAAAGGTGTTTTGGAAAGCACCAGGATCTTCAAACGGCTGTCTCCCAACGGGGCACTCCCTTTCGTGGCAATGAGTCCTTCTATGGGGCCTGTGAAGAGGGTGCGTTTGACCCAGCCTCGTTGATGAGTCTTGGGTTTGCACTGGTCCTCGTCCTCCTCCGCCTCCTCCTCGTTTTCTTCCTCCTCCTCCTCCTCCTCCTCCTTCTCCTCCTCCTCCTCCTCCTCCTCCTCCTCCTCCTCCTCCTCCTCCTCCTCCTCCTCCTCCTCCTCCTCCCCCTCGCGTCTCCTCCTGTGCCGCCTGCCCCGCCGGCCCTCCTCTCTGCGCTGACACCTTAGCCGTCATCATGTCGAGCTTCTGCGAGGGTCTCATCTCTGACCATTCGTCGAGGCAGGGTCTCATCTCCATCATCCGCATCAGCACTGTTACCATCATTACCATCATCAGCATTCTCACCATCATCCTCCTCCTCGTCGTCATCATCACGTCCGTCTTCCTCGTTCGCCTCCGCCTTGTCCTCATCTTCCTGCTCCGCCTCCGCCTTGCCGTTCTGCTTGTCCTTCTCCTCTTTCCACGCCCTCCCTCTCTCTCTCTCTCTCTCTTTCTCTCTCTTCCTATCTCTTCTCTCCCTCCCTCTCTCTCTCTCTCTCTCCCTCTCTCTCGCTCTCTCTCTCTCTCTCTCTCTCTCTCTCCCTCTCTTTTCCTCTGTCGCTCTTTGCCCTCTCTGGCGCCGTCGCCTGAGAGCCGCGCACACTCAGCTCAGACCACGTGCTTCAGTGTCCTACGCGGGTAGAGCGCGTTTGTTGTCGCGGGCCCGGCAGGCGCGCGGGTCCGTCGAGTGGCCCAGGGGCGCTGGTCCGCGAGCCGTGCACTGCAAGAGGCAGGGGGAGGGCAGGCAGGGCTGCCGCGGAGGGGAGGAGCTGGCGGGGGGGGGTGGGGAGGAGGGGGGGGGGGAGGGCGGGGGGAGGGGGAGGAGGAGGAGGAGAGGAGGAGGAGGAGGAGGAGGGAGGAGGAGGAGGAGAGGAGGAGGAGGAGGAGGAGGAGGAGGAGGAGGAGGAGGAGGAGGAGGAGGATGAGGAGGAGGAGGAGGAGGCGGAGGAGGAGGAGGAGGCGGAGGGAGGAGGAGGAGGAGGAGGAAAGGAGGAGGAGGGGGAGGAGGAGGGGGAGGAGGGGAGGGGGAGGGGGAGGAGGAGGAGGAGGAGGAGGAGGAGGAGGAGGAGGAGGAGGAGGAGGAGGAGGAGGAGGAGGAGGAGGAGGAGGAGGAGGAGGAGGAGGAGGGCAATCGCAGACCATGAAGGTCTCCGTCTGCGAGGGCACAGCACGCGCACGCAGCTGTCAAGTTCTGGGGATCGCCACTGACCCGCGCACACTGGCCTCGCGAGTCTCTGGGAACTGCGCGGATGGGCACGGGCCGTTTTACGAGGCTTGGTAGCCGATTATGCTCCGCATGCTTTTAACATGTTTTACAAATTATAGGAATTGACGCGTGCCTTGTTTTCCAATGCTTTGCTAACTCTGGAAATATGAATGTTTCTGTGGTTCTAGAAATTGGGAAGTGCGGCAGCTACAAGGATGGACGCTGGTCTGTTTTCAAGTTTGTCTCGCTGGGGACTGCCTGAGATTCCATGACCCTGCAGCGTGAATCTTTAGACGAGCTACGAGAATGTACGGCGGTTCCTGTTCTGAGTTGTCGCAGGCATGCTGTTCGCACATCCACGCACCCCTGTGATTATTAATGAGCTCATAGAAAAAAGCGCGGGAAGCGGATGCCGCGTCAGCGCCGCGACCGCGCTCCCGTAAAAGCAACATTCGCACCCACATTCGCTGCATCGCCTCTCGACGGCAGCATCGCGATTGCTGCTGTGCTTTAGAGGTGAACGCCTGTACCAACAGACGCAACACTGATTCCCGGATAGCTCCTCAGAGCGAAGTCAGGGTTGTCAGATTAGAAGCCGGGGCCGCAGGGTCGCCCCGGCGGTCGCTCCGGTTTCCGGCAGGAATCCCCGGCGCGGGCTGCTTGAGGTTTGAATCTGTCCCGAAGAACTGTTTCTAAGCGTTTCCCAATTCGCGTGTCCAGGATCTCTCCAGAAGGTCCTTCGGAAGCTCTCTCCGGGGTCTGCCGGCATGCTTCGCCAGGCCTCCCCACGCTGTTCGGGCGCCCTGGTATCCGGGTTTTGGACTACACAAGTTTAAGTAGGAAGCTGTTTTCATTTGCGGCACTTGATGCCAGCCGGCCAGAGTTGCCACAGTGTGAGCATTGTTTGGGCCATGTCAATGTGATTGCCCAAGGGCTTCTCCTGTGTAGCCACTACTTCTGTGTGACCACGATTGTGTTGGGGTGTGCCCACTATTCGGGTGTGACCAATCCAATGTTCAGGTGTGACCACTGTCGGGGCCTAACCACTATGGGGGGGGACCAACATTGGGATCTGACTGTTGTTCGTGTGACCACCATTGCGGTGTGACCAGTATGTTCGGAACATCTTCGGCGCCCGTCCTGACAATGAGGATTTGCGATTCGGGAGTGGCCCTTGGTTGTTTGCATTGTTCTTGCACGGGGGTTGTGCTCCGAGCATTAGTGGGCACATCAATGGGCACCGTCTTCCCCATCCGGTCTCTCCTCATGGTCCTTCCCTGTGGCTTCCCCTTCGTCCTGTTCTCCCTCGCCCTCCGTGGGCCGTTCCCGACGCATTATCCGACGCCCTTCCCGACGCCGCCCCCGCGCCCAATCCGAAACCCAGCCCGACGTTTCCTTCCAGGCTGGCCGACGCCGCGACCGACGTTTCCAAGGGGGGTGGGGGGGCTAGAGGTAAAGGGGCCGGGGCCCCGGCTCCCCACCGCCAGGGCCGCCCGTTTCCAGCGGGTTCTTTGCCAGGGCTTCGATTTGGTGAAAATTGCGCGCGGTGAGGCGCAGTCGCTCCATGATGACAGAGTGGAAACAGTGGACGTCCATGAAACACCCTGCTTGCCTCAAGGGTGCCCTGTGTTTCTTGGGTTTCGATGGTTTTGCGATGGACAGCGTGACTTTCCCCCACCCAAAATCCATGGATGTCCTGGGGTCTCAAGGTTGGGCTTCTTGTGGAAGGTTTCTTGTGGACTGGCCCCCACGATATGTGCATCTACATGGAGGTGAGATCGAAGTGAAGCGGCATCGCCCCCGCCTCGGGTTGCCGCGCCCTACTCGAGCGGCTGCGAAGCCCCCCCCCCTCTGGGTGTGCTCGGGGGCGCTTGGGCCCTAACCGAAATCTGAAAAATACAAGCCACGGCGGGCCACCATAAGGGGCGCTCGTTCTGATGTGCGGGGGCGTCCTCATTGAAAGTTTGCTATCGCCTTAGACCGTGGACCGTCTGACACTTTCTGGGGCAGCGCCTTGGGAATTGCATCAGGTGGGGCAGTGGTGGACTGGTATGTTTCAAATCGAGCTCTTACCTGGACGGTCCTCACATGTCCTGTTCTCCAAGCTAGTGGCTGGGAGCTTCCAGCGTCTACATGGGTGGAGGGCGGTTACATCGCAGCATCAGTGGCGCGTGCTGGGGTTATTATGGTCCGGTCCCCCCTCCCGAATGGTCTCACTCCCATTGCCCTCCCCTCCTCCTCTCCGACTCCTCTCGTCGAGAAGCAGAGGGCAGGAGGGAGGAAGAGGAGTGAGGAGCAGGTAGGAGAATGGATAAGGAGTGAGGAGGGAGGAGGAAGGAGCACGTGGGATGGGAGGGGAGGAGAGGGATGACTTCCTCCCTGCTTCTCCCTCCTTCCTTCTCCCACATCGCTCCTCCCCACACCTATTCCTCCGCCTCCTCCCCCCCCTCCTCCTCCTCCTACCTCCTCCTCTCCTCCTCCTCCTCCTCCCCTTCCCTCCTCTCCTCCCCTCCTCCTCCTCCTCCTCCTCCCCCTTCCCATTCCCTGTGCAGCCTTTGGAAGAGCCTGTTGGCCCAGGCTGGCTGGGCACATGGCTTCGGGCGCCTCCGGGGCGCTTTCCCCCCCTTCCTCCTCCTCCTTCCCCCCTCCTCCTCCTCCTCCTCCTCCTCCTCATCATCATCATCATCTGCCTCCTCCTTCTCCTCCCTCTCCTCCTCCCCCTCCTCCTCCTCCTCCTCCGCCTCCTTCTCTTCGGGCTCGTCTTCTGGCTGCTGGGTATGTGGCGCACTTCGGCGTCGTCCGCCGGAGGCTGGGAAGCTGCGCCTCCTCGTCACGGTGCAGGCGGCTCCAGGAGCTGCACTTGTGGCATTTCGGAGTCGACTTTGTCCA